CCTGCTTACCTGTCAGAGGACGTACCTCCTCTGGAAAGCAAGAGCTGAATCTAGAAAAGATTTATGACCCATCCCTTAGGCATCTAAGATGTAAAGTCAGAAAGGTGCCCCAATGACAAGGGTATAGCATCACCTTATATGGGAGAGACAGAAGCAGAGAATGTTGGAAATAACGAAGACTTAAAAAACATAGCATGCAGGTATTGGAAGGGACTTTTTAAAGACCGACTATTACCCGGAAGGTACTTTGTATATGCTAGATGTATATATCTATATCTATCTATAGATATATATGCCTATCTATGTGGGTGGGTGTGGGTGTGTGGGTGTGTATCCATACATACATATCTATATATATATCTGGTATTTGCTCACATGTTTCCTTGTTTTCCACAATGGAATATAAGCACCTTGAAAGCAGGGGCAGCTTCATTTTTTGTCTCTATGTTTCTTGTACCTAAAATGGCACACAGTAGGCACTTGGTAAGTGCTTGTGGTTCTTCTTGTTAAAGGCAACATCTCAACATTGACAGGAAGGAAGAAAGCACCTAAGCATCCACTATGTGCCACGCAATGTGCTAAGAGCTTTGTAAATATCTTATTGAATACTAACAACCCTAGAAGAGAGGTGCTATTATTATTCCCCATGTTACAGCTGAGGAAACTGAGGCAAACAGAAATTAAGTGACTTGCCCAGGGTTGTGCAGCTAAAACATGTCTTGGGCCAGATTTGAATTTAGGTTCTCCCGCTTCAGGGCCCTATCTACCATGCCACCTACCTGCCCCAAAGATCCATGTGAGTATCTGGAGAACAGCAACTCACATTAATTTAGCATGTTTAGGATTTACAAAGCTTTTTCCTCATGTAGCCTGTGTCCTTAGGCCTCCCCAAGACTCTGAGTTCAAAAAGACCACGTTTAATCTTCAGGCTGATCCAAAGGATCGTGTTATTTTAGCTTAGTGCACCCACTCACAGTTTACTCTGGGAAAATCTCCAAATATAGTTTGTGTCTAGCTTTTCACAAATGTGGGTACCAGGATCCTTAGCTTCCACTTACCTTAGCACTAAAGGTGACAAGTGCATTTTGGGCATAGGACAATATTACCTCATCTCACAAAAAAGCAAAAGGTGCAGAGGACTCATGGGAACTCATAACAAGATGCTGAGAACATGTAAGAAACTCAGAGTAGTAATTCCAGCTCCTACCCATCCTTCAAAACCCAACTCAAGTTCCACTACCACTTTCATGAAGCCCACTCCAGCCAGAACTCATTGAGTTTTCGTTTCTATGAATTATAATCAGCTTTTAATTTTATACGGCCTTGCGCTATGTGCTCATCATTTCGTTTTTTAAAATCCTCTCCCACTACAGCATAAATTCCTTGTGGTAGGTGCTATGTCATACCATCTGGGTTTCCTACATCTTTCCCATCTTCCATAACTTCTTGACTGTTTCTCCTCTACTACGTCTTCTCTATCCTCCCAAGAATTACTATAATATTACTAGAAAGAATCTCCAAAAAGTGCTAGAAAATGAAGGCACGTAGCCAAAGTCACAAAAAACAGACACATGTGTAACTAGAATTTTTTTTCACTTGGTACAAAAACATTTTGAGGGGAAGAGTAACCCCCTCAAAGGCTGGAGCAAGTGGTGGTGTTTAAAGGATAGTCCAACTATAGATGTAGTCAAGCCAGGAAAGGAGGTAGTCTGTCTTCCTTTCTCTCTTCCTTCATTTAAGCTCTGTTTGTTTCCGTTTCCTTAACTGTAAAATAGGGATAATAATAGCACCCACCTCCCAGAGTTGTTGTGAGGGTCAAATAAGATAATAATCTCTAAGTGCCTCTCACAGTGCCTGTCAGATAGTAGGCACTATATAAATACTAGCTATTATCATTATTGTTCTTTGCTGTTCAGTCATTTTCAGTCATGTTCAACTCTTTGTGACCCCCATTTTGGGATTTTCTTGGCAAAAATACTGGAGAGGTTTGCCGTTTCTTTCTTCAGCTCATTTTACAGATGAGGAAACTGAGGCAGACAGGATTGGGTGACTTGCCCAGGGTCACACAGCTAGTAAGTGTCTGAGGCCAGATTTGAACTCAGGAACATGAGTCTTCCTGATTCCAGGCCTGGCACTCCATCCACTGTGCCACCTATTGGAATTTTGTTATTATTATTATTCCTCATCTGCTAATACACAACCCCACTTACCCTCTCCTGGGACCTGCTTCCCTCCCTACCCCAACATCCACAGGGGCAGATGGTTTTGGTCTTCAGTTTTGATGTGGGGCAGGGAGAGAGAAGTATGAGCCTTCCATGTTAGCATCTGAGACAAAGCCCTGGCAGCCCACCCTGGTTATGACTCTGAACCAGGGGCAATGAGTCAGGGAGGCTAATGTTATCCTTTATAGTCATGCTCCCATGCTCTTAGGGACAGAAATGTAGACCAAGGTATAAAACACTGACCACTTGCTACTTTGGTGAGTCTAAGTAAGCAGGTGCATTTTTCTCCCTTCAAAGTATCTAATGGTGCATTTCATGTCTGAGTGTTTGTTTTTTCAGCCCTCATTCTCTTGCCAGCACCAGGAGGTACCTTTGTAGATTTGAAGAGTTACGGCATTGGTTATGCATTGTACACATTCCAAGACAATTTAATAATTGACCTGGCTTCTAACTTATTCATGGCTTTCCAGAGGTATCATGTACCTGTGCTAGCAAAACTCCAACCTGGGTTGTTTCTGAAGGAGGGTCATGGTTTCATGACAGATCGAAACTAAAGAGACTTTCTTCTTTACCCCACCCCCAGCCCCTACCCTTACTGTCCCATCTAAATGGCATGGTTGATGGAAGGCACATTATGTAGTATACTGAGCTGTTGTTTTAGACTTGAAAAATTCCAGCTGAAGCCTTGTCTCTGACACTAACTTGACACAGAATACCTACTCCATGGAGTACATGTAAAAATTATTACCATAGTCCATTAAAAAGTGCTATGTCATGGTCCATACATCCACCACTCATGAGTTTTGCTTTTTTGCCACCTATTCAAATCAGCTTGATCAAGATGAAGTCATTCAATTCATTCAGCATTTATTAAGCACCTAACTATGGGGCAGCTATGTGGTACAGTCAGGGCTGGGCCTGAAGTCTGGAAGAGTCATCTTCCTGAATTCAAATCCAGCCTCAGACACTTACTAGCTATGAGATTCTGGGCAAGTCATTTAGCCCCGTTTGCCTCAGTTTCCTCATCTGTTAAATGAGCTAGAGAAGGAAATGGCAAACCACTCCAGTATCTTTGCCAAGAAAACCCCAAATGGAACTATGGAGTCTGAATGCAGATTGAAGCATATTATTTGCTCTTTTTTTTCCTTATGTTTTATTTTGTTTCTTCTTTCTTGTGCTTCCTCCTATTGGTTCTAATTCTTCTTTATAACATGACTAATGTGAAAATATATTTAATAGGAATGTATATATAGAGCCTATATCAGATTGCACACCATCTTGGGGAGGGAGAGAAAATTTAAAACTCAAAAGCTTATGAAAGTGAATATTGAAAACTAAAAATAAATTAATTTTTAAAAATAAAGTTAAGAAAGTTGGATATGTAGGAAAAAAATTTTTTTAAAGATCTGAGCAGAAGAAAATCCGAAATGGGGTCATGAAGAGTTGGACATGATTGAAACAATTGACTAGTAACAACAAAGGGTAACATAAGCCTTGAGAAGACAGAGCATCCCTGGCATTGGGGACAGTCCATGGAAAGGCACGGCAGCGTCACTTATAAGGAAGAGCAAATAGGCTCCAATGGCTAAAACAGAGAGTGCCAAAGGGGAATAATGTAAAATAAGTCTGGAGAAAGGGGGGAAAGCCAGATTATGAAGGATTTAAAATGCCAAACAGAATAATTTATATTTCATACTAGAAGTAGTAAGGCATCAACACTTTTTTTTTTTTGCTTTTTTTGGTGAGGCAATTGGGGCTAAGTGACTTGCCCAGGGTCACACAGCTAGTAAGTGTCAAGTGTCTGAGACCGGATTTGAACTCAGGTCCTCCTGACTCTAAGGCCGGAGGTTTATCCACTGTGCCACTTAGCTGCCCTAGCAGGAGAGTGATATAGTCATACCTGAGTTTTAGGCAGCTGGAGCAATCATAAAGTTCCCAATGTGAATTGAGTTGATGCTAGTAAAACATGGAAAGAGCATTGATATACACAATGACCAACCACAATTGCAGAGGACTCATGATGAAACATGCTATGCATCTCCAAATAGAAAGATACAGAAGACAGACTGAGGCATATATATGTATGTTTGTGTGTGTGTATGCATACACATATATATATATATATATAGGTATGTGTGTGTAAATCTAAATATTAAATCTAAATATACATATATATGCCTCTGGAACTGTGGTTGGTCATTGTGTTGATCAGCGTTCTCTTCCTGTTTCACAAGCATCAACTCAATTCATGTTGGGAATTCTATGAATGCTCTAGCTGTCGAAAGTTCAGGTAGGACTCTGTCACTTCCCTGTGCAAGAAGTGTGGAGTTCTTATTACTTATAGGAAAAAATGGGAATTCTTCTGTTTGAAATAAATATACTTACATATACATAATACATATATATCATAATATACATATATAAACATGTAACATATAATAAACATATATTATATACATACACAGAGATCAGAGAGATGGAGACAGAGAAAGAGATAGAGAGATACAGACACTGATACAGAGAGAGACAGAAAGAGAGACAGAGACAGAGACAAGGACAGAGAAGTAGACAGACGGAGACAGAGAAGAGACAGAGACAGAGAGATTGAGAGAGAGACAGAGACAAGAGAGAGAGAGATTGAGAGACAGAGACAGAGACAAGGAAAAGGGAGAGAGAGAGAGAGAGAGAGAGAGAGAGAGAGAGAGAGAGAGAGAGAGAGAGAGAGAGAGAGAGAGAGAATATGCAGGCATTTGTTTTACTTGAGTATACAAAGAAAGAGTGAGAAGCGTTGTCTGTCATTCTCTGGGTGGGTGGTGAGGAAAGTGAGCTGCAGAGGAAGATTTGTGGCTAACCAAGACTGCACGCCCAGCAAGTAACAGAAGCGGGATTAAATTCAGAAGCAGCGCCTTTTGGTGGGGCGGGGTGGGGAGCCGGCTCCCCCTGTGGTGTCTGGTGTCCGGTGCCGGAGCCTGTGCCCTTTCCAGCTGAGAGGACAAAGCTGGCAGTCTCTCCCAGGCCGGGAGGCGAAGCTTCAACCACTGAGAAAGCAGACACCAAAGGAATGGTGAGGTTGCATTGCTGAGTGTGAATAGCAGTCATTTCCTCCTTCTTAATAAGAATGAAGAGAGACCGTAAATGATAACCAACTACCTTAAGTCTGTCCAAGGGAGGCCTCTTTGTGCTTTCTTAGCTAAAGATTGAGGCTTCGTGGCTCAGGCATGATGTTTTTTTCTTTTTTTAATTAACTCAGGTTGGACAGTCTGTATGGATATTCCCCTCACCCTGGTGTGGTGGTGGAAAGCACGGAGCAGAAGGTTTTGCAAGTTTAACAGTTCAATAGTTGGAATGCCAAAAGGTGATGTCATCGTTTACCGAAACCCGGAGGCAAAATCCTTCTCACACTTGTTCAGTCAACACAAATCTGGAAGGGTTCCAAGTGAGCATGTTTGGAGGCACATTTTCCCCCAGAGGAAGCTACTGAAATAGCTTTAGAGGTGCTTGGTACTTGGCGCAGTGGAAGATATATTGGTTTCACAATCAAAGGACCCAGATTCAAATCTTGGCTCAGCCTCTCACTAGCTGTGTGACCCTAGGCAAATCACTTACCTCTCTGGGCCTCAGTTTTCTCATCTGTGAGAGTAAATGTCAGGGTATTAAGGGAAATGTCTATTTGGTTGTTTTTGCTATATAGTTAAACCTTCCAAATTGTGGGGGTGAGGTTTAAGGGTGTGGCACCCCCACGATCTGGAAAATCTACACAAAAATTTTTGGCCCTCCGTTCATACCACAGACGAAGTCTGAACTTTTTTTTCTTTTATGGGGTGTATACAGTATCTTATTGTAAATTTTGGGTTAAGTATTTGGTTATAGGCTCTCCCCAAACTCCCCCAAAATTCCCATTTAATTTCTTTTGCCCACCTTCAATGTATCGAAACCATGATGAGAAAGTCACAACGGGGAAGGTATAACTGTATTTTTGAATTAAATATTTCTTTGTAAAAGTGATCTGATGTTAAATGGAACTGAGGCGTTAGTTACTGCCCCTTTAACAATTGGGGGAACAGAGTTGAGAGGGGTTTGAGTAAATGGTACTAATGAAGAGACACCTACATATCAGGGAAACTGATTTCTCAGGTTTCTTCTAAATCTAAGAACATATGAATTGCTTTAATGGTTCTCTGATATTTACCAATGTTTGTGAGCATGTGTGTATTAAGGAGAATGGAAGGGGTCCATATCAGGAATCTGCTGGATACTTTATAATAAACCTTGAATGTTTCACAAGCATCCATTCAATTCACATTGTGAACTTTGTGACTGCCCACAAATCATCAGCTGTTCTCTATGCCTAGCACATTGAACTTAAGCTGTGCTTCAAGGACCTTCATCAGGTGACTACCAACACTCTTTTTTCATATACTCCTAATGGGATCCCCTACTTCAACCATCAATCTATCAACTTTTTTTTTCATATACTCCTAATGGGATCCTCTACTTCAACCATCAATCTATCAACCCTCTGAGGCTAAATAGCCACCAGGAAACTAGCTTAGGTCCTTGACATTTTTATTCACTGGTTTCCATTCTAGATAGAGGGAGGGGAGTTTCCAACATCAGAAGAGCAAATCACAGGAAGCCAAGAGTCAGAATTCAGTCTGGCCAGCGTAGAGCATCAATGTTCCAAGAGTAAGGAATGAACTTTGGAAGTAACCTTCAGGACCTCAGCCCAGTGATAGCTGACATGTTTGGCCCCAATTTCCACCTTTGGATATGAAGTTGGTGGGACCAATGTTATGTAGGAACAGAGCTAAGTTTTGAGCATACTGCCCCAGAGACAAAGGTGATGTAGAGGAAGTTGGTCATCAGGGTATTGAGGGAATGTTCATTTGGTTTTTTTTGGTATATCTTTGAATTAAGTATCCCTTTGTAAAATGATATTAAGTGGTTAAATGGAACTGAAGGTGTGAGTTATTGCCCCTCTAACAACAGCGGGGAACAGAGCTGGTAGAGGTTTAAGTAAATAACAGTATTGAAGAGACACCCACAAATCCTTTAGGGTAGCAGAGAACTCTGAGAGGTGATATAGCTGGCCTGGACCTGAGACAGCAGGGCCAAAGCACTCACGTTAAACAGGAAAATCATGACTCGATAAAGGTGGAAGCTGGAATATGCTGGTTAAGATAGTGACCTGAGATCTTCTGGTACCACAGGCAACTCTTCCCCAGCTAACCCCCGCCATACTTCTTCCCCCAGTGGAGCTTGCCTCAGTAGTAGCTTTGCAATGGCCTTTGGTCCTCTCTCACCTTCTATTTGAAGGTCCAAGGCTTTTCAACTATAGCTTTTTTTTTTCTTAAAAGTTCATTGAAAGGTGTCTTTCATGCTTGCCCCAGGTGTATCTGAGGAAATTTCCAGAAATATTTGAATGTGTGGGAATTAGCCTAGCAAAGCATTTCTTTCACGTATTGAAATACGATCCATTTCATTGGACTGCCATATGGCTGTCAGAGCTGGGAACTTCCAGAGGTTAATTTAGGGTCATACTGCTTAGCCTGGTTTTGCCACTTTAGGACTAAGGGTATAACCATGGGACAAGCCATCATTTCACAAATACTGTCCAGAATGTCTGAATTCCCAACAAATATGCCTTTTAGCAATGCTAACTCCCTTCTTATCTCTTGGTTTCTGGGGTTTCCTTTGTTTTCCTGAGGATCCCAAAGCATTAACCCTATTCCCTTCTTGCCTACCAGATGCTTATATTTTATTAGCCTTGAAAATTCAGCAGTGTGTTGCCATACCTCAACATCAGCATGGCTCAGAAAAGCGAACGGTGAAATAAAATAAAAATCCACAAAAGTGCAGGTATAAGGCATGTCTTTTAATAAATGAGATCGTATTTGAAATTTTGATCTTTTCCAAAGATTCATACTCTGGTAGACTTGTAAGGGATCTTAGAAATAAGCCATTCCCCACATTGGACTACAAATCACTTTGGCCAAGGGTTCCTAACCTGGTATCCATGAACCTGTTTTTAAAATATTTTGATAACTATATTTCACTATAATTGGTCTTCTATGCAATCCTATTTTTTATTTTATTTTATTTTGCTTTTTTAGGCAATTGGGGTTAAGTGACTTGCCCAGGGTCACACAGCTAGTAAGCGTCAAGTGTTTGGTCTGAGGCCGGATTTGAACTCAGGTCCTCCTGACTTCAGGGCCGGTGCTCTATCCACTATGCCACCCAGCTGCCCCTGCAATCCTATTTTTTTAAAAAAATTATTTAAATCATTATTCTGAGGAGCCCATAAGCTTCTCTATACTATCAAAGGGTCCATGAAGCAAAAACAAAAACAAAAAAACTGTAAAGAACCTTTGGTTCTTCTCTTATCCACATTACTGATACAGAAAAAGAAGCCCAAATAGGTTAAATCATTTGCCTAAAGTCACATGGATATTAATTGATACACCCCTAACCCATGTAAAATTCAGTATTCTTCACAATTGCACCTTAGAACTGTGTAACTTTCTGGATAAAATTTACTGTAGCAATAAACAAGCAAATAAATGAATGAAGCAGAATAAATGAATGAATAAATAAATAGGAGTAAATAAGTGAACAAAAAAATTTCAAAAATAAAATCCAGTGATCTTTCCATGAAACATTTTGCTGTTTTGGGAATTTCCTCTACCCACACTGCTTTTAAAGCCTAGAAAAGCTAAGTGTCTGATCCATGGTCATATGGTAAGTATCAGAGGTAGGATTTTAACCAAATCTTCCTCGCTCCAAGTCCCTACCTACTATGAATTATTTTCCTCTTTCTACTATCCTGTAATTATTTTTTTTAAAAGGACAAAATTTTGAACACTGGCTGTATGGGTGTTGCCTGAGCTGATGTCACATCAGTGATTTCCAGAAAGATAGATGACAGTCACCATGGCACCTGGAATATTATATAGCCAAGGGGTTACGGTACCTGGACATGGGGCAAATTATTTTTATGGATCTTCTACTGAAATAAGGCTGTGGCCATGTGAAAATGACCATTTCTCTATCTGCCTCTTTTCATGCAAGTTTTCTTAAAATTGTTTATTGACCCTTATTTCACTTCCATCATGATAATGAATTCCACATGTGTGGATTTGAGAGGAGGCAGCTAGGTGGTGCAGCAGATAGAATGCCAGGCGTGGAGTCAGGAACTCTTCCTGAGTTCAAATGTGACCTTAGACACTTACTAGCTGTGTGACCCTGGGCAAGTCACTTAACCCTGTCTGCCTCCTCCTCTGTCAAATGAGCTGGAGAAGGAAATGGCAAACCACTCCAGCATCTTTGCCAAGAAAACCCCAAACAGGATCACAAAGAGTTGGACACAACTGAAAAACAACAAAAAATTTGAGAGTTTTTTTTGAAAAAGTTCTATTTATTGAATCAAGTTTTATATTCTCTATTCTTAATTTGGAAAGCAACTGAGTCAAATGTTTTATATTTGCCTTACACACACACACACACACACACACACACACACACACACACACAAGAAATAAAAAAAAGTTAAACGTAAGTTGAACCCTGCTTTTGTTTTGCCTTTAATCAAAGATTTTCATTTGGGTTACTGACTCCCAAAGAAAAATAGGTTCCCTGGAGGTAGTATAGTATAACAGAAAGAATGTGGACTTGAAGTCAGAGTAGCTAGGTTCAATTCTTAGCTGTGCCAATTAGTATTATCTGTGTGACCTTGGCCCAGTCAGGTTACCCTATTGGTTTGCATTGCCTCATCTGAAAAATGAGGAATTTTGGCTAACTGACTTCTAAGCTTTCCTCCAGGTCCAAAGGTATGATCCTAGTGTATAGGGAGGAATAGGGGAATGAGTCCTGGCTTCGGAATTAGAAGATCTGGTTTCAAATACTGGGTCTGACATTTATTGGCTGTGTGACATGGGGCAGAACACCTTTGCTCTTTGGGCCTCATTTTTATCATCTGTAAAATAAAGAAGTTGGTCAAAACAATTATTCCAAATTCTTCCAGCTCTAAACCCCATGTTCTCAATGCTTCCTCTGATTGGAAGAAGAGTCCTTCCATTTCTTTGTATGGTAAAGAGCTAAGTATTTGGGGGCAGCTAGGTGGTCTGTAGAGTGGATAGAGTACTAAGCCTTGATTCAGGAAGACCTGAGTTCAGATCCAGCCTCATACACTAGCTGTGTGACCCTGGACAAGTCACTTCACTCTGCTTGCCTCAGTTTCCTCAATTGTAAAATGAGCTGGAGGAGGAAACGGCAAACCACTCCAGTATTTTTGCTAAGAAAGCCCCAAATGGGGTCATGGAAAGTTGGACACAACTGAAACAACTGAAGAACAAGAAGTATTTTCACCTGCTGGTTATTACATGTGTCTCCCATATCTCTGGGAATTCCTTCTTTTTCCTTGCAGTGCATTGAGAGAGTACCATAACTCACTCGCCCTGTGATGGGTGATAGTTGTTACAGAGGGTTTGTTTACATTAAGACAGCAATTCATTGCAGGGTCCCTGAAGTTACTTCCTGATTCTGAGGATCTCAGAGCCTCCAAAGAGAAGCTAGTCATTAGCATTGGCGAGAAATTCTATTGTATTCCTCCACCTAAATAGCAAGAATTGGGGGCTGGGGAATTGATTCTCTTGTCTGACACCCACAACCTGGCTCAGCTAGCATTAGAAAGCTCCTTCCTCCTCTCTGGAGAATCTTGTCAGAAGTCAGACCTGTCTGGTAGAAATGGGACTGGTACAACTGGTTTGAGGGAACAGCAATTTCATTGGTGTCTTTTCAAATTGCACTTGTTATTAGGAAAAAAAAAAACCACCCACTGCCACAACTGTCAGAAGGATATGATCCAGTGTTTATTCCTGGCAAAGGTATTGCTAATAATCATTTTTTTCCTCTGGGCTTTGCTATTACCCATTGTTGATGATGCTCATGGCACGAGAAGATATGGTCTAATACTATGATTCACGGACTTGATCTGTCCAGGGCGTC